TTATATATTGATATAATAAGAAAAGATGTGTGTATATATATATATATATATATCTTTTCTCCCCCTCCCATAGCAATTTGTCTATTATATCAATTTTCTTATTATATCAATTTGCTTACTATCTCATTTGCTTATTTATTTTATTGGCATTGCCATTTACCTGGGATAAAGATTGTTTACCCTTAAAGGTATTGTGTGTGTGTGTATGTGTGTGTTTTCTTCTCCCCTTGTGCATTTCCTGCACAGAAAGGAGGTCCACAATCATCATCCTAGAGCTTAATTTCTCTAGTAGCTTAAATTCAGGTGCACACTCCACCCAGCAAATAACACAGAGATAAAAAGCCTTGGAGGCCAATGTAAAAGAATACAAAATAGTTTTTACACATTTTTTACCTTTAATAAGACTAATAATATTATAACTGCTTTGGCTTTTTGACTTCTTATACTGGGCCAGGCATTTGGCTAAGTGCTTTGTGAAAATCGTCTTCGCAACAATCCTATTTAAAAGGTATTTTTCCATTTCATAAGTGAAGAAAATGAGGTCTAGAGAGTCAATAACTAGTAAGAGTCACAGGTGAGATTTTGACATGACCCTGTTCCATCCCGCAGCTGATGCTCTTAACCAACCACTCGGTTCCACAGTCCTCCTCTGCAATCCTGAAACTTCCGTTGTACTACAAACCCAAAGTCCTTCTTCAGGCATTGAAAAATTTTCACCAGATAGTCAAGTCTGACCTAAACTGAAGTGAGGCTCCTTAGAATCTTTAATTATCCCACTTAATGTGGATATTTATATTTTTATTGTATAAAACTATACAAACAATGGACACAAACAACGGTCACCAAGTCCTGGAACAGGTTGTGTGAGCCCCTTGAGGCATTCATCCAGCGCTGTTTGGGAGAAATTTCTATTTCAATCTATTCAATCTATTCCTGTATGTTAGTTATTGAAAAACAACAAACAATAGTACTACATGAAAATTACCTAGTTGATGTAAAACTTATTTGGGCAAAACCCACTTTCCTACATGCCACTGAGGACATTATGTGGTATAGAACAGGGGTCCTCAACACCCAGGCCACAGCCCATATGGTCTGTGGGCTGTTAAAAACCCGGCCACACAGCAGCAGGTGAGTAGCCAGAGAGTGAGATTTATTCTGAGCTCCGCCTCCTGTCAGATCAGCAGCTGCATTAGATTCTCATAGGAATGGCAACTGCATTGTGAACTATGCATGTGAGGGATCTAGGTTGTGCACTCCTATGAGAATCTAATGCCTAATGATCTGAGGTGGAACTGTTTCATCCCAAAACGATAGCCCCTGCCCCACCCCACCTCTCACAACAGCCCAATGTCCATGGAAAAACTGTCCTCCATAAAACCAGTTCCTGGTGCCAAAAAGTTGGAAACCACTGTTATAGACTATATAAATAGTAATACTGTCCTAAAACCTGAAATATTCACAATTCCAACACCTGAAACACCTGGCTGCAAGGATTTCAGAGAAGAGATCATGGGCCTGTAGATACAGCCTATTTTAATCTTTTAAAAATATTTTAGAAGTCACTGGATCAAACTTCAAAAGACAAACATTTGGCCATGTGCAGGGGCTCACGCCTGTGAGTCAGCTCACGTCAGCACTTTGGGAGGCCACGGTGAGCAGATCATGAGGTCAGGAGATCAAGACCATCCTGGCCAACATGGTGAAACCCTGTCTCTACTAAAATACAAAATATTAGCCAGGCATGGTGGTGTGTGCCTGTAGTCCCAGCTACTCAGGAGACTGAGGCAGGGGAATCACTTGAGACCAGAAGGCGGGGATTGCAGTGAGCCAAGATCATGCCATTGCACTCCAGCCTGATGACAGAACAAGAAGACTCCATCAAAAAAAAGAAAAGAAAAGAAAGAAAGAAAGAAAAGCAAGACAAACATCTACAGGTAAAGAAAATTAAAAGAACTGGCCAAAATATTGATTAATCTATGTGATATAGCTAGAAATACACCAGTCAAAGAGAAAGAGCGTTTATCAAATGTCTGGTTTTCATTTATCTCTTTCTCATAAAACTTGATCTATGAGTGTGGGAGAAAAAAATTTTTTTTTAAGTTTGGACTGAAATTAAATGGGGAAATCTTTGCAAATATATTTGCCTCCTACTTGAAAAGTGAAAATTTGTCTTCTCACAAAGTTCAAATGAGCAAAACAAGTGATTATGACTTTCCTCTGGTGTGGAAGTGACATGTTGATTTTGCTCAAGCCAGGAAGTGTTTATGTTTTGAATTAGCCAATAAAGCAAATAATGCTAAAAATAAATGTTGAGCTACAACACATTAAACCAATTACACAAGCGTCATTTCTAGTAAACAAACAGACTTAGATGATATTATTGCCTTTCTACGGTTTTTTTTCCCCCCAGAAAGCACTAACACATGAAAAGTAAACAGGGCAATTTTGTGGGTTGAAATGACACGTCCATGTAAATTGCTCAGTGCTATTACCGTTCCTCTGTACTTACCACATTCATTTGTCACATATGGATATTGGCATTGCCATTGGGCTTCTGGGAACTTAAGAACTGTTTCTTTTTTTGAATTTTCATCATGAAAATAGTTTAACTAGACACAAAGTAAAGGAAACAGTACCAAAAACCAACATACGTCCATCTCCCAGACTAGACAACCATCAGCATTTTCCCAACTTCTTTTTATGCTTTCTCTCTTTCTCTCTTTGCTCCTCTTTCACACTTTCACTTTCTTGCTTTTTTTCTCCTCATAAAGTATTTCAAAGCAAATACGATATATCATGACATGTTACTCTCAAACACTTCTCGATTAATTTCTTTTAAAAAAGATATATTTTTACATAATATTAAAACACCAAAAATAACTATAATCCTTTAATGTCATCTAGTACCTAGTCAGCATTCTAATTGTATTCATAATCTCAAAATGCTTTAATAGTTTAAAATGCCCTTGTCAGAAAGGTGATCAGGATGAAATCTACTAGCCAAATATTTATACGATTAATACATATTGATTATCAAATTCAACTGTTTTTTCCATTCTCTTCCCAAAGGTAACATAGGCCAGGGCATTGCAAAGGTGCACGAAGAATAATAGTGTTTGTAATGGCAAAAACTCTGATGGTGCCATGTCACTCATAGGCGGGTGATGAAAAATGAGAACACATGGACACAGAGAGGGGAGTACTAAACACTGGGGTCTATTGGGGGGAAAAGGGGAGGGCCAGTGGGAAGGGGAGGTGGGGAGGGATAGCCTGGGGAGAAATGCCAAATGGGGGTGAAGGGGAGAAAGCAAACAAAACACACTGCCATGTGTGTACCTATGCAACTGTATTGCATGCTCTGCACATGTACCTCAAAACCTAAAATGCAAGAAAAAAATTAAAAAATAAAAAAAATTGATTGAGGAAAATATACAAAGGAAAAGGATATGAGAAAGGAAACAATTAAAACTTTAGCCAAAAGAGAGCAGCTGTGGGAGAAATGTGGAAATGGAAGTGATATTTTAAAAGGAAACAAATACCATTTGTTAGAAATATCAAAGTTCTCTATAAACCATAGAAGCAGACAAAATTCTTGACTAGAAAAAGAAAACTAAAAACCCAAGAGTGCTAATACATAGAAACTCATTACTTTGACTATATTAGTTCATAAAATAGGGATAGCTCAAGAGTTGAAGTTTGTTTTTTATCCTCTCTGTATTATAACTGCTGTTACAATTCAATTGTGCTTTGTATTTTAGCTCTCATCATACTTTATTGAAATAGTTCGTGGACATCTTGCCACCTCCACTGGATTATGCCTTGAAGGCAGGGGCTATTACTTGCATTCATTTTGGCATCCTTAGCCCCTGGTGATGCATCCACATCTGTGGCCCAAACTCAGAGAGGGCTCAGCCTGGAACAGTCTCAAATGCTGTTTACCACCAGCCCCTCCCTGCCTGCTCCTTTTCCTGTCTTCTCTCTCTAAGTTAATAGAGTTACTCTCCAGTGTCTCTTAGTATAGAAATATAGTAGCTATCTTTAATTTTTTCCTTTTTTGCACCATATATCAAACTAGTCAACAAACAAATCAATTACTTTTTCCCTAAAAATGTCTCTAATCTGACTTTCCCTCTCCATCCTCACTGCCATGCCTGATTTTGCTGTCTCACTTGAAGAGTTTCAACAGCCTCTTAACTGGCTTCCAAGCCACACATTTCTGCCCACTCCTATGCAATCCTTCACTGGAAAGATGAACTGGAAAAGTTTCAGATTATGATATTGAACAACAAATAATTTAATTCTTTCATTCATTCATTCAAATGTTTCCCATCACTCATAAGAAAGTTCAGCTGTTTCTATATGACACCTGGCTCCTCCATGACCCAGTCCCAGCATCTTCCCGCAAACTTATTTCCCACCCCTCCTCCTCCTACCCACACTCTCCAAAACTGAATTTCTTCCTGTCCCTCAAATACTTAACACATTCATTACCTTATGCATGCCATTTCTTCTTCATAGAATGCATACTGTTTTATTCAAGGAAAAGATCTATTCATCAAGACTGTGCAGCAATATTTTCTTCCCTAAAAAAAATTTCCCAGCCTCCAGAGTTTGCTGCTCCAACTTCACCTTCTCACAGCACACTCTATTACAGTATGAATCGTGCGGCATCATCATTGCTCGCTCATAGCCTGATCTTCCCTGCAATGGGTTCTGAGTGTCCTTGCAGGCCAGGACTTTGCTACATCCTTCAACACAACTGTCCTCAACACATATTCCATAAATGCTTGAATTAAAAAAGAATTGATTAATTAAGAAACGAATACAGTATTAGAAAGAATGTTTAAATAACAAGAGAAAAAAGTGTTCTCAAGCAGTTTTAAGCACCATTTACATGAATAGAACTAAAAACTGTTTTGATCAATATAGCTAAGGTAGATGTCTACACACCAATAATTTAAGAACATTAGGTTATGGCATTACCTGATGTGGGGGCCACTACTGTTAAGGCAGTAACTACTCTTTGCTGTTATCATCATTATTCCATTTCACCACAATGGGCCTTATCTTCTAGAATATGGTTAGCACATGTTTTCTTAAAGGCCAGATAGTAAATTTTTTAAATTTCTTTCTTTTTTGGGAGTGGGTGGAGACAGAGTTTTACTCTGTAACCCAAGCTGGAGTGCGGCGGCACCATTATAGCCCACAGCTGCTTCAACCTCCTGGGCTCAAGCAATCCTCCTACCTCAGCTTCCAAAGTAGCTGAGACCACAGGCATGCACCACCACGTCTAGCTACATTTATTATTTTTAGTAGAAAAGAGATCTCACTATGTCACCCAGGCTGGTCTCAAACTGCAAGTCTCAAGTGATTCTCCTGCCTCGGCCTCCCAAAGTGCTGAGATTTCAGAGGTGTGAGCCAACATGCCCAGACAGATAGTGAATATTTTAGGTACTGTGAACTCAGAGGCGACATTACATCTATTATGTAGTTACTTATATAAAATGTAACCATTTTAAAAACATGGGAAACATTCTTCTTAGTTAACAGGCATTAAAAACAAAACAATGGCAACAGTAACAAAACAGGTGGCTGGCCAGACATGGCCCACATGCCCTAGTTTGCTGACCCCGTTCTAGAAGAACACTCTCCAGCAGAAACTAAAGCAAGCCTCCAGTATGAACCACATACGTAATTTTAAACTTTCTAGGAGTCATACATTTGAAACTAGGTGAAATTAATTTTAATAACATATTTCTTTTAATCCAACATACTTAAAATATTTTCATTATGAAGTGTAATCAATACAAAAATATACATTTTGGAGATACTAAGTCTTTGAAATCTGGTGTGAGTTTTATACCTACAGCATGTCTCGATTCAGAAGAGCCACATTTCAAGTGTTCAGTAGATACATGTGACTGAGGACTGCCAGTTTGAACAGTATTGTTCTACAACTATAAAATAACAAATTAAGGTGAAATAATACATGTTTCCTTTTGTTCAAAATAGTATTCAATTGTGAAGCTTATCTAACTTTCTAATATCTCACAACAGTCATTTATTTTTTCATTTATTTATGCAAGAATTTGAGATTGCATGTTTCATAAGTGTCAGGTACTGTATTAAGCTCCAAAAAAAGGTGGACAGCTTAGGAATGACTCAAAGAGTTCACCCCCTAACACAAGAGTAACAATTTATAAACCTGTAAGAACATAGCAGAATAAGAAAGCAAGTAACACAGAGACATATACATGTGAGATTGGGGGCAGGGTGTAGGCACCAAAAAGAAAATGGCCAGTTCCATCTGAGAAGAGGGCCAGGACAGCATCCCAGCGGTGGTGATGCTTGAGTTGAGTTAGCAGAGTGGTGACAGCTTTCAACTCCTGCAGAGGGGACAGCATGATGAAAGGCAGGGAGGCATGGCACAGCATGGCCCCACCAGGGACCTGCAGGTCACTCTGACTGAGCAGACTTTAGGATGCTAAGAAGGAAAGTCACAGCTGCACAGCCCAGTGAGGAGCCTTGGAAGGCTTTAGCAGCAATAATACTAAGAAGTTTGTACTTACCCTGTGGTTTGTACTTTACCTGCTGAGAGGCAGTGGTTGGTATGATCAGTTTTGCTTTTTGAAAAGATCATTTAGTTGTAGTGTGGGTCCTGAGTTGAAGGGACAGACATAGGTGACAAGGAGACATGTTGGGATTTCATCCTAGACAAGAGATGATGAAGAACAATAAGCAGGCAGATCACCTGAGGTCGGGAGATTTCAAGATCAGTCTTGCCAACACGGTGAAACCCCATCATTACTAAAAATACAAAAATTAGCCAGGCATGAGGGCAGGTGCCTATAATCCCAGCTACTCAGGAGGCTGAGGCAGGAGAATCACTTGAACCCAGGAGGTGGAGGTTGCAGTGAGCTAAGATTGCGCCACTGCACTCCAGCCTGGGGAACAGGAGAAAGATTTTGTCTCAAAAAAAAAAGATGACGTAAGACAAAACCAGGACAGAAACAAAGTAGAGTACAGACACATAACATGGCAATGGCAACAAGTAGTTGTGCAGTGAGTGGAAGAAAAGAGGCAGAGGCGCGGGTTTCTGACCCACATAACTAGAAAAGCTGGGCTTCTATTGGCCATTCTAACAGGAAAGACAGGAGAAGGTCCTTCAAAAAGAAAAAAAAAAGGCTCTTCTAGAAGTTTCCAGAGAGACCCATCTTTTACAGAATGCTTCTCTATAGCATGTCTGCCCTGGACAAGGAAGCTATAATGGGACCTGATCAGTTTGTCCTTTTAGAAAAAGTTCAGGGAAAGAAAGAAGTATTTTTGTAAAGGATGCTTAGTGAGTTTCCAGCTCTACATCGCAACAATCGTACCAGTGTATCATTTGATGCTTGTTTTCTGACAGAGCATCTTGAGTTCATGATCTAATGTTCCTGAATCCACCACAAAGTCCCCACAGAAAACTAAATGTGCCTCAACTGCAAACTCAATGCTTTTTTTTAATGTTTTGATGATGGAATTATATCCCGTTTCTCTTTGCCTCAAGCACTCATTAGTTGTTATCTGTCAGTCGGTCTGACCACACATTTCAGTCTCTTATCATCATAGATTTCACCATCATAATTAACTGTCTTGCTGTACAGCTCCAAGTGTTATATCCTCTCTTAACTTTGTCCAAGGAAAACTGAAAGAGACAAGATTTCTTACCTTAATGAATCCTTTTATTAGGGAGCAAAATTCTTACCAGAGAGCCTTCTCACCCAGCAACCTTCCTCTTATGACTTGCTGAGTGGAACTGAGTCACATGTCTACCCTTAAACCACCAGCAAAGGGCAACAGGATTACCATGCCCTTACCTAGACCAAAAATGGCTCATTCCATGGAATAGTACTGGGGGGGATAAAGGAGGGCAAAGAAGAAGGCCATTTTTCCAATTCACGTATTACCAAAATAATAATAATAATCAGTATTTTGTTGCTGTAACAAATTACCACAAATTAGTGCCTTAAAACAACACAAATTTATTATCTTATTTTCTGGGGTCAGATATTCAAAAAGGGTTTCACTGGCTGAGATCAAGGCATCAGCAAGGCTGCAAGGCCCTCTGGAGGCTCTAGAGACAAATCTGTTTCCTTACCTTCTCCATCTTCTAGAGGGCACCAGCATTCCTTGGCTGTGGCCGCATCCTCTATCTTCAAAGGCAACAATCTAGCATGTCTCTCTCTCTCTAACAAAAATTAGCCAGGCATAGGGAGATATATATATATCCTTCATCACCTTCTCTCTTCATCCCTCTTATAGGGACTCTCATGATTACACTGGGCCTACCCAGATAACCCAAGATAATCTCCCCATCTCAAAATCTTTCACTTGACCACATCTACAAAAGTCTCTTTTCCCATGCAATGTAACATAGTCCCATGTTCCAGGGATTTGGGTGTGGATACCTTTGGAGGGACATTATTCAGCCTACCACAGTTAGGCTTCTATTATCCAAGAACAATAAATGATTCCCCTGACAGCAAATCACTTACTGTCTTATCATTTGTCAAGCCCTGAACTGGGGCACTTTACATGGTTATCCAATGAAAGATTAACACTAAAATTGTGGAAGAGGTAGTCTGCCTGTTTTACAGACGAAGAAAAAGATATCCAGAGTGTCTCTGTTCCTGGAGCCAGTAATCAGCCTCAGTTCAAACCCAGGTCCACCTATCTTATTGGCTTATCTCTCCAGTGCTCTTTTCTGCTTGGAAAAATCCATTGGAAACCAAGGGAGGGCAATATTTTGAATACCCAAAGTTTAGTGATTCTTCAAGTGCACACTTTATCAGTGGCAAATACATATCTAGACCTTATTTTTCTGAATTCCCAGTGAAATGCACAATGTTGCATTTTTTTAAGAAAGCTAACAATTTAATTTTAATTTACTTCTGAGGACTTATTTCCTACAGGAGTAGTCAACCCATATCCCCTATTTCCATTTTCTGCCTATGCCTTTCAAGGTTTTTAAAGCAAAGATTTTTAGAAAATAAACATCTTAACATAGTGTTAGCCATAATAAGTGGGTTTATTGTTTCATTTCCCTTTTGTTTTAAAGTTCCACAACAGTCTTTAGTTGCATTTAAACAATTACAATAGGTTATCTCTCTGGGAAGAATTCTATCCACTTGAGGTGGACACACAATAAAAAATAAAAATAATTAATATATGTGGTAAACAAAGTGTTAAAATAAGTTTTTAGTTTTTGAAAGTTAACAAGATTCACACATAGGTTTTAATACATATATTGGGGGCAAAGACATGTTCCACCCTAACAGCACACACTTGCTGAAAGGCAGAAGGAAGATGGGGCAGAGGGACTATCTTTGATTTTCATAGGTAATGAATTACTAAGAAGACACGCTAACACCAAACAGAAAAGTTGAACAATATCTTATTTATTACAAGGAAGCTACCTTTTCCAAGAAAGCTCAAATGTAAAGCAAAATCCCGAATTATCCTTGGCCTTTGAAGCCATCTTCAGAAGCAAATTCCCAACTTATTCTTGTTTTTCTCTTTCTTTACAATTGAACACTACAGTCAGCTCTTAGGACTGATGTGTGTCCCACTGAAGTTTTAAAATTAATCACTCCGAGGGCCTCAATCATTGTCTCAGTAGTTCCATCACTAGTATCAACATTTTGGTTTTTCTGTTTTCCATTCACATTTAAGTATTAAGGATGAAATACAAAGGAATATTTATATAAATAGCTACAGAGGCAAATACTACTTGCTATTCAGTCAACAGTGAGCTGTTGGCTCACAAGAAATAGCAATAGCCCGTGAACCATCCCTCTAAATTTAGCATAAGAAAGGCAGTTTGGGTGTATTATTGTATAGTACACAAAAAAAAATTAAAGTATCAGACAAAAGAGAAGGAATGCCCATAGCCCTGTTGTCAAATGCTAAGTTTCCAGTCTCATCTGGTTCATGCAATGGTTTCATGTGCGTGTGGTGGGGCGGGGAGGGTATGTGGAATCAGGGAGAATTTGTCTGTCTATCTTTCTGTCTCTCTGGAAAACGAGTTTGGTATTTTTGTGCCAAGTTCAACAATTCTTCAATTAAAATGCTCCCAGCACAATGCAGGTCCAACAATCATTCATCCTTTTTCAGTTTCTCCATCTGTCCATGTCTCCTCTTTCTGCCACCAGAGTCAGACCTGAGGACCCAGCCAGCTTCAGATGCAATGGCTATGTGGCATCCAGCACAAGCCTTCCCTGAAGCCATCAGCGCCACTGTTTTCCAGATGTGCAGTCATTCACTGCGTGCCAGTGTGGCTGGTGCAAATTTGGAAGTTTACACGTGAATCACAAAGTAAAAATGACTAGGAAACTCCAGCACCAGCCATTACATAAAAGCTGAAATTTGGACTATTCACTGATTTCTTCTTCAAAAATATTGATGAAGAGTATTCCCTTACAACCAGAGCTGAATTCAATATTGGAAAGAAACTTGTGGATAATGCTTCTCAGGCATTTGGGAAAGTCAGAAGGTTCTTATTAAAATAAACACTGAGTAATAAACTTTAATGGTCTCCAGTGGTTCATAATGCCAAAGAATAATACATTAAAAATGCTGATTTAATAAGAGTACTTATAAACTCCTCAAAAATCATTTATTGCAAAGCGTAGTTTTGAATTATTCAAAAGACATAAAAACCAGGATGAATTATAACTCACGCTGAACTAAGCCTTATGTTTCCAGTATCAAACAAATAGATAAATTATTGTCCTTAATTAGCAGCTGATGAGGAGAATCACGCATAGCTTTAAAAGAATCCTATAATGTCTGTGAAATTTCCAAGTCTGCTGGCTAAATAAGCTTTTCCCTTTCACATCTTTTTTTTCCTGGATTTCCCCTGCAAGCTGTCAACCCCATATATTATGCATCACTGTATGGCTGCCCATCACAGGAAATTGCTATCTGACAAAGGTATTTTCAGTCAGTAATAATTACTGTGTCTGTCAAGCAGATAGTTAAAGTAATATAATAAAACTAAGAAAACCTGACACGTCCCCATATGTCTGGGTAACCAGTATTCTTCCTCTCACACATGCACTAAACAGATGCACTCTATTTGTTAGCAGAATACAAAGTAAAACATAACAAAGCCCATTTTCTCCAATTTGCATAAGCAGCACCCATGTAGGAGGGGGAAGCTGGAATTAAAGACTCCGGGCTTCTTCCAATTGTATCTTCTAGTTGTCAAAAATCTGAAAAGGTATAATCACTCTGACAAGAAAGAGTCAGCGGTTTCTATGGCAATATTGAGAAGGGAATGCCAAAGATAGTCCAAAGGAGGGTAGGAAAGGGGTCAAGATTATTACTACAATTCCAGTTCCTGCTACATCTTGTTATTTTTGACAGTTGGTTTGAAAAAATCCAATTTTAGTACTTTTCTTGATATTTATGGGTGTTAAACTGCAACTTATGGAAGAGAATGTCTGAAAGGAAGGGAGTAGGAAGGGAATTCTCCTGATGGAATCAGGTCACTGAGATCTAAATTGACAGGCAAGCTTCAGGACTTTCACTGATGTCCCCAAAGTAAGGCAAACCTGAGACTTGAAATCAAAGACCTCTAGAGAAAATGAGTGGGATGGGGTGGGAGAGCGTTTTGATTGTCTTTTGAAACACATTTTTCAAGCATGGGCAAGATACAGCAGCAATCTAC